TGCCAGCCCAGCTGCTGTCAGTCCAGCTGCTGCCAGCCCAGCTGTGGCCTGACCACTTACAGCCAGCCAGCCTGCTCTGGACCCGTGTACAGCACCAGAACCTGCTACTACCCCACATGCGTCCGCCTGTGCAGCGGCCTCCCTGAGAGCTACGGATCCAGCTGCTGCCAGCCCTGCAGCTGCTGATCATCTCCCCCAAAGGACCATCAACTGCACAGCCAAATTCTAGAAACCGCCATGCCATTTCCACACAAATCACTCCCTGCCTTTGTGACAGCCATCATACTGTCAGGAGGAAATCCATTCCTCATCCGCTGGTGCGGGAACTGGTGATGACTTTGAGGCAGATTGCCACCCTCTTCCTCTTCTCCTTTAGGTCCTGCAGGTCTCTTGCCAGCTTCACAGATCTTGGCATACAGTTCTGGTCTTGACTTAAATCCTGAAGCCAAGATCTTTACCTCATTCCCTGAATAACCTAGGAAAACTCTTCTTCATGAAGTCAAACATTTACACAACTGATCAATCATCACTCTTTTGCAATGTGTGCTGTGCGCCTGCATTTATTCTTTCTCCTTTCTCCATCCCTTGAGTTGTCGCCCTAGAGTATGTAGCCTTCACAAATTCTCAATAAATGCTGCACCATTATTCGCTGCACGTTGTCTGTCTCCTTTTGATTGTGGCAAGATCACTTGACGTGAAATGTATATGCTTTAGATTTCTAAGTGTACAGTGGGGCACAGTGGTGAACAGCAGATCTCAAGAAGTTATTCTCCTTGCAGAACTGAAATTCAGTACCCACTGATTCACAACTCCCTGCCTCCCCCACCCTCTGCCTACCCACAGCCCCTGGAAGCCAACCTCCCCCTCTGCCTCTCTGAATCTGAGTGTTTTGTATACCCCGGTGACTGGGAAAATATAGCACTGGTCTTTCTGTGATTGGCTTATTTCACTTATCATAATACCCTCAAGGTCCCTCCATGTGTCACAACAGACCCATTTACTTCTTTTAAAGCTGAATACCGTTCCATTGTATGTCTGAACCACATTTTCTTCCTCGTTCATTTATGGATAGATACCCCAACAGCTTCTGCATCTTACATATCATTAATAGTGCTGCTATGCATAGGGCAACGCTATTATCTCTTCAGGATGCTAATTTCAATTCTTTCCCATAAATATCCAGAAGCGGAGCTGTTGTACCATACAACATTTCCATTTTTAACTTTTTGAGACACCTGCATACTGTTTGTCATATTTGCTGCAACATTTTACACCCCAGCCAGCGAACAAGGTTTCCCAACTCTCCCCATCTCCTGAAATACAGTTAGGTGTTGTCCTCGGGTTAATAATACCCCTTAGTTATTGTGGGCTGATCAGGTCCTCAATCTCCCAAATGAGTACACAGCAAAGACTAAAGAAAAAGAGGTAAAGCGCAAGGTCATGAGTTCGGTTCCCGGTACCGGAGAAAAACCAAAAAAAAAAAAAAAAAAAA